GTAAGTACAGATAAATGAAACGATAATTTCATAAAAAAAAATCATAAAAATACTTAAACATAAAACCAGCAGTGAAACTGCAAATACCTAACATCAGATGATAGGGGCCAATGTACGCGCGACGCCAAATACGCACGGCTCAATATTTATTTACACAAGTGCGCGGCTAAGCTGACAAAGGAGCCTTTGTCACTCACACAATAAACCCGAAAATAACGACTCTTCATACTAACAATTACTCATAATAAAATTAGCCCAGACACAGGCAGCCAAAAATTAAAAAAGGGTTATTATGTAAATAACGCCCTGAATTTAATATAACCCAGTTAGAAATAACAAATCCGTATTACAAACGGACACTTCAATTTTATTTCTAGGTACGTAAAAAAGTCGCCATTACTAACGGCATAAAGCGGAAAATTGTATATGATTAGTAACTTGTATTTAATTATACTTAAAGTGCGTAACTAATAGCATTAAAATCAGAAATCATTATGTTGCTAATTTAGTAGCGTGGCTTAATCTTAATTTCATATTTTGTATTGGAAATAAGTGATTTGTTACAGTTCTATCTTTTGACATGGCCAGTGGTTGTTATTATTGTAACTTAATTAATTGCTAATGGCATACTAGACTTTTTTAGCCTCCAGAGCGATGCCACTTTGAAATGAGGTGTAATATTTGAAGGATTTCAGAGCGGGGAGGTTAATTTGTTAGGAAAGTGTAGAGTTAAATGTTTCTTTCTGAGATATTAGTTTCATTTTGTGTCAATTTATGTAAGAATTATTTATTAATTATTTAAACCAAACTTTTTTTTGGTTTTAAACAAAAATTTTTACTTTTTTACTTTAATTAATTTAAACAAAAATTAAATGTTTAAAAATTGCAGAACTTAGCACTACGACTTTTGTACATACGTACACAACGAACGAAAGAAACTTTTATTCAAAACGCAATTTTTCAACGATGATTACTGGTTGATCCTGTTCACTTCCGCTTCCTTAATGCACGAAGGCTAGACATAATGGCGTCATTTCACGCACCCAATGAAAAGTGGCTATGCAAAAGTGAAGAGGAAACACGCCACCGGCTGACCAGAGTCTTCAACGTGCCACTGCCGCTTGAGTAGTTGGAGCTAGACCTAGAATATGATAACAACTCTGTGGCAGTTGGCCACAGAACAATTTAGTAGTAGTAAAATGACTGTGACACTTTTTTGCATACAAATTCAATATGGCTTTGCCATTTCAGGTTTTCATCAATGCGAACGCCAAGAAATTTTGTTATTGTTGTTATTTGAACTTCTTTGTCATCATACTAAATTTTGTATTAAATTTATGATTAGTTTTTTTTATTTAAATTGTATTATTGTAGTTTTATTTATATTTATTATTAAATGATTGTCTAGTAATAACTCACTCTCTTATTGAGTTTAAGCTTCTATTTGTTATGTTTTTATTACTATAAATAACCGTACAGTCATCTGCAAACAATATTATCCGATAGTTAGTAGATTTAGGTGGGTCGTTAATATAAATAACAAAAAGTAGTGGTCCCAGAACACTTCCTTGTGAAACACCAAATCTAACTCTTCTAGAAATAGATCTATAACGTATTTCATTTTTATGTTTGAAATAGATTTTGATTATACTTGTGATTTGAGTTCTTTTACAGAGGTACAAATTTAATAAAAATCGAGATTATTGCCCCTTACACTGTATATCTCAAGTTTATTTAAGAGTTTTGTATGATCTACAAAGTCAAAGGCCTTTGACATATCCATGAACAATGCATAAGAAGGTTGTCTAGCATCCACTCGTGGGTATATAATTCTTAAAAATTCATGGATAGCTAGGTTTATTGACATATTCTTTTGGATCCTTTTTGATCAGCAGTGAAGATTTTGTTATGTTCAAAGTAATTATATAATCTATTATATAGAGCATTTTCCATTATTTTAGAGAATGTAGGCGTTAAGGCTACAGACCTATAATTCTTCATATCACATTTAGCTTCTCTTTTATGGAAGGTTTAATTATTGTAGTCTTCAATATTGATCGAAAAATACCCTACTCAAAACATAAGTTGATAATGTGGCTAATTATGGGCGCAATATTAGTACAAATTTTATTAAACCCAGTACTTTTAGTGGTTTTTAAATTATTTATAATAGAAGAATGGTCGTAGGGATCAGCAGGACTTAAAAAAAGGAGTATGATGAATTATACGTGCATATTTGCTTTTTGATGGGATTACTTATATTTTGAGGTTTAACAAAATCTGCATAGTAATTACGAGTATTGAATAATTCTCCTAATTGCTGAGGATCTGTAGATTTATGATCATCTATTATTAGTTCTTTAATATTATCAGGGTGTAGTTTTAGTTCATTTTCCTAAATTACATTCCAAGAGAATTTATTTTCAGCATTAAGGATAAAGTGATTATTTTGATATTTTTTAGTTAATTTGATAACTTTATTGTACCTCTTAGAGTATGTTTTGAAAAGTAATGTATCTTTAGGGTTCTGAGATAATCTGTATTTATTATCTTTCTGACAATATGCTTTTTATATCATTTATATATTCAATATGACTGTTAGATACGATTTCATGCGACAAAACGTTATATTATTGGTTTTTAGGCGCTAGTAGAAGATACCTACGCGCTTTGCGCTTAAGGCACGCAAAATGAAGAAACTACCAGAGGGAGCTTTTAATAAATAAATAATAAATAAATACTTAATTAATAAGAAAGCCCCTTACGCCAACATACACCCAGCTGTCAAATTAAAATATAATTTGTGTGTTCTTATTTCTCTCCAGACCTACCAGCAACAGCTGTCAAATTAAAATATAGTTTGTGTGTTCTTATTTCTCTCCAGACCTACCAGCAATAGTACCGCAAAAGTACGCCACTGATATTAGGGTGAACCTGTATAAATTATTTTGATATGATGTATCGGTGTCAGAGCGTAATAAAATCTACCACATCTTCATATTCTGTGTACAATGTAGTATAAGCAAAAAAATATTTTTGGTGAGAAATGGTAGCTGGTACGATCGCCGTTTGAGGTTAGTACACAACAAGAGAAAATGACTTTATTTTGATTTTAACTTTTTATACCTAACTCAATAATTTTAGTAAGGAAATTCGTTAAATAAGATTGTTTAAAGGTCAAAGAGTAATTGTAATTAATTTGTTTAAAAAACGGAGACAGTGAGTACGTAATGACTTAAAATTTTTATACAAACAGCTACCTAATTAATATTATGTTAAAAAAATAAATTCACACAAGAGACAGCACCCTCTCGCATTAAGTTTTCCACTCTTAAACTAAATATATGAGTTATATTTATAACATTGAATGTTAAAAATCTGAAGACCAATGTGTTTTAAATGGGGAAGAACTGAGCTCTTTTGAATCCATTATTTTTCTTAATATCTCTCTCAATGAAAAACTTAAGCGGTCCCTATATATCCCAGCACATAAACTGGCAAGCAGAATTTCTCTACGGTTTTGCTGTAAAAAAAATAGAAGTCTTACTAGTGTGGAGACAGTTAGGTTTTTTTTTCAGTTATTTCCGTAGCATAATGTCTTATGTGATTCTGCTATGAGATAATGCAGCAAATTTAGATACTAAGGGCTATATGGTTATACATTATATGGGTTATATAATATTAATACGTGGTAGAGCCACGCTGCAGCTATATTGTGGCTGTAGCACGAATGGCTCGACTCGACCGTGGGCGGACCGCGCTCTCACACTATACCAGCGTAAAATAGCAGCATAATACTGTTGTGTTTCGTATGGTCAGTTTAGGGATACAGGGACCCTTTTTGATGGAAATGAGGCATTCTGTGCCGTGGTAGCACAGATGATTAGCGCTCGCTGTAAATTTTACAATAGACGAGCAAAACGGGTTCGATCTGTTTGTTAACGGCGTTTTCGTTTTTATCCTTGAAAAAGAAATGTCAAAATCTCTATTTAAAATTAACACTTATGAAAGAGCTTTTCGGATGACTGACATTGAAGTATTATTAATCCTATACCTTTAAACGGGCAATTCTTGTATATATATATATAAATATATATATAATCGGGATCTCGGAAACGGCTCCAACGATTTTCATAAAATTTAGTGTCCAGGGAGATTCGTGGGCATTAACTCGATCTAGCTAGGATTTTATTTATAGAAAATGTCTTTTTGTCCGTGTTTTTAGGCAATGAAAAACTGCTACAATATCGTTAGTATAAGAAGGCAAATTTTGACAGTTTATTAATGATTATAAATAGCTTAGTTGGTATATTAAGCGGTCACAGAATCATAATACCCTGGTTCGAGCCCAGACCGACTGACCGACTTTTTAAATTTTTTTTTTCAAGTTCCTTTCTTTTTTGAGAAAATATATTTTTTCGACCCCTTTTTTTAGTATTTTTTAAACAATAAACTAATTACACTGATGATTGTTTATTCAATAAATTTAAAGTTATTCAAAATAAGATCAAAAAACATTATTTAAGTTTCATCAGTACGTAACTTAAATATTATTTTTATTTTTTCATTTTTAAAATATAATTTATAAATGTAATATCAAAAAAGGAACCGAGCGAAGCTCGGTCATCCGGGTATAAACATAGTAATAATAATAATCAACTTAAACATGAACTGAAAAATATGTATATATATATATATATATATATATATATATATATATATATATATATATATATATATATATATATATATATATATATATATATATATATATATATATATTCTTCCTGACATCTATTGGCGAGTAATAATACTATTTTTCAATTGGGAGCAACTAACTGCTTTAATGACACAGCAACACTAAAGCTACTTCAGTTGATGGCGTTGCTAAGCAACGCTAAGCCAATGAATGTTTGGTTTGACGTTAGATCAAGAAAAGCAACTGTTTGCTTATATTATTGATAAAATAGGTGTCTTTTTACTCTCGTGTTCACTTAAAAATGCCTAAAAGATCTTTGAAAAACGTTCTTATAAACAATCTAACTTCTCGAAGCCGCGACTCGTCTCAAGAACACTTTGAAGACAATCGTCATCAAACACAAACAGGTCAGGTTTCTCAAACTTCACACAGTGAAAACTCATTTCAAGAAAGCCTTCATGAAAATAGTCATGTTTCCGCTTGTCCCACACGTACTGCTAAAGTAAGATGTTTGCAAAACTTGACTAACATTATACGGGCAGAAAGGTCATATGATTTAGATGTTTCACGAGATCGTGCGTCACAACGTGTGGCCACTGAAAACGACGAGCAACGGGAACGACGTCTACAAGATTTACGGCAGCGTGCGGCACAACGTGTTGCTACTGAAAATGACGAGCAATGGGAACGACGTCTACAAGATTTGCGGCAGCGTGCGACATAACGTGTAGCTACTGAAAATGATGCACAACGAGAGCGACGTTTGCAAGATTTGCGGCAGCGTGCGGCACAACGTATAGCTACTGAAAATGAAGAACAACGAGAATACCGATTAGAAGAGCAAAGACGTCGAGACAGAAGACGTCGTAGGGCTTTAGAACTTAATATTTTTTTTACCGACATATAAATGTGCCATTACTGCAGCTGTGCAATATCAGCCCTTAGGACCATTTGAAATTTTGAGTATTCATTGCGGTGCATTGCACTTTCCAGAAGAACGCGTTTCTAATTTTATAAATAGAAATTCTTTTGGTGACTGTTGTTTGCATGGACGAATTTTAATGGAGCAACCAAAATTTTCAAATGAATTAGTACGTCTCTTTTTAAACCGTCACCCATATTCGGAAGAATTTCATAAAAAAGTAAGAAAGATAAACGCATCTTTTGCTCTAGCATCCTTCAGTGCAGAAGATGACAGAACAATAAATAGCCATTGCATTTATAGTTTTATCGTTTGCGGATAAGTGTATTATAAAATGAATATGACAGCTCACCCGACGCAAAATGATTTTGGTGTTTTTGAACGGCCACTGTACGGGCAACTATACTTTTTAGATCCTGATGAAGCCGTTAATGAAAGAGTTAACCATCCACTTAATTCTGGAATTACTACCTCAATGATGAAGTTATTGGAGTTCATCATTCGAGCGCATAATCGCTATGTACAGGGATATATAATGATGCGAGAAGTAGAGGACGAAATGAATCGGTTAACTTCTGCTCAAGGGTTACCCCCACCATACGTAAAACTTTTATTTAGAGTTCCAGATCAAGTTGATCGCAGAAGGTTTAATATACCGGCGTGTAATGAGGTTTGTGCAGTTTTTACACTAAATGCTGATCAAAGCTTTCCGGATAATGAAATGATTGTTCACCAGCGCAATAAAAAAAATGTCTATTTAAAGAATGTTGATAGGAGAGTTGAGCCATTTACTTACCCATTATTTTACCCAACCGGCACAGATGGCACAGATGATTTGCAGTTACAAACGTCTTATGCCAGCCGCAGTCATTTAACTCGGCTTGAACTGGCACAACACAGACTTTCGTTTCGACCTGAGTTTGTTAAATTTTTAACAGAATCTACATCAACAGAAGAACCCGATGTCCGGGAACTTTCATTTAATGCACTGCATTTTGGGGGCCGATTATTTCAACAATATTTAGTTGATACTTACATTCGTGTAGAACGTGACCGTATTCAGTGGATAAAATATAACCAAAATAAGAATTTAGCTGAACAATATACGGGAGTAACCAGTTTCCTTAATCAACTTGTCGAAAAGAAAAATGCCACAGTTGGTGAGAAGATTATTTTACCCTCCTCTTTTCCTGGTTCGACGAGGTATTACACGGAAAATTTTGAAGATGCCATGGCTATTGTTCGACGGTTTGGATCACCTGATTTCTTTATCACCATGACATCAAATCCTAACTGGCCAGAAATAAAACAGGCATTGCAAATACATTTAGAAGATAAAACAATCTTGCAACAGCTTCCACAAGATCGTCCTGATATCGTGGCTCGAGTCGCTAAGTTAAAATTGGACCAAATAATAGAAGATTTAGATAAAAAACAAGTCTTTGGAAAGGTATCGGCTTTTGTATACACCATAGAATTTCAGAAACGTGGATTACCACACATGCACCTGCTTATAATTATGACACCCGGTGACAGGATTCATCAAGCAGAAGAGCTCGATGACTTGATTTCATCCGAAATACCCCAAAATGATGACTCAGAGTTAAGAGAATTGGTACTCAAATGGATGATTCACAACCCATGTGGTGATTTAAATCCCAATGCAACATGTATGGTTCACAAAAATGGAAGAACAAAATGTCGATTTGACTTTCCAAAATCGTACCAGGAAGTTACATCTTTAGTAGATGATGGTAAACCAAATTACCGACAACGCTACAATCCGCAGTTGGACCCTAATAGTTCCCAATTTTCACACGAACATGCAGTTTATCGCAAAGACGTAAACGGTCGTCGTATAACACGAGATAATCGTCATGTAGCCCCCTACAACGCATATTTATTGAAAAAATTTAATTGTCATATTAACTTTGAGTACGTAGGGAGTATTTTGGCTGTGGAATATCTTTATAAATACATTTATAAAGGATATGACTGTGCATCGATCAAAGTTGTAGAAGAACAAAGGACCCTGATTTATAATGAAGCAAATACATACATTGAAGGACGTTGTGTCACGTCACCAGAAGCATGTTGGCGATTATTTGCTTTTGAAATTCAAAAAAAAGTCATAGTGTCCAACGAATGGATATTCATTTACCAGGACAATATCGGATTGCAAACTTGGATCAAATCCATGAAGATTTAGCCGATATTGGCCAAAGAGGGTCTACTTTGGAGGCTTATTTTAAGCATAATGCAGAAATTAAAAGACATAATCAGTCAAGCGATAATGTCACACGTGGATATTACTTTTATTGGCAGATGCCTGAAAACTTTAAATGGGTCGGAAGGTCTAGCAAGTGGGAGCCAAGAGTTCGCTGTTTGCGAGTCATTGGTAGGATTCACAATATGAATTTCGTTGCCCAACCGGAACTTTACCACTTGCGATTGTTACTATTTCATGTAAAAGATGCAACAAGTTTTAAAGACCTTCGAACCGTAACAGACATCCAATATCAGACGTTTAAACAAGCCTGCTTAGCACGAGGCTTGACTTACGACGATTAACAATGGATAGAAGGATTACGAGAATCTGCATTATCTAAAATGCCTGCAGCAATGAGAGGCCTTTTTGTACAAATTTTAATTTATGGTTCTCCTGAAAATCCAAAGCGTCTGTGGGAAATATTTAAAGAAAATTTAACAGAAGATTTTATACATGCAACCCGCCAAAATGGACAGTTTATAGAAAATGCAATTAATCAAGGTTAAAAAATTAAACACTGAAGCAACAGAAGGCCGAAATTTCCAATACTGGGTACAAAATTTTGACTTTGAGGACATTGACAATTACGGTCTTGAAGATAATCAAGAGAATTTGAACACGGATGAATCAGCAGTATTAGGAGAGCAAATGTACCAGTTACTAAAAGGAAAACAGATAGAAATCGTTAATTCCATTCTTGACGTTGTAAATAATACAGTTTCTGAAACGTAATGCTTCTTCATTGATGGGCCGGGGGGTACTGGAAAGACATTTATTTATATATAAAAGTTTATACTACATGTTGACAGGAAAACGATACAGAGTAAAATGTATGGCTTTTACTGGTATTGCTTCCATAATGGACGTACTTTTCATAAAACTTTTGGACTAAAAGTAAGACTGACACCAGATTCAGTCTCAAGTATTGTACCTAACTCTTCTAAAGCGAGACATTTAGCAGAAATAGATATTTTTCTTATGGATGAAGCTCCAATGCTTCCAAAATATGGATTGCAGAACATTGATCAACTTTTCCACAACGATCCATTGGGAATTCAGATCACCCTTTCGGTGGAAAAATAATAGTACTAGGAGGAGATTTTCTCCAATGTCTGCCTGTACAGCCGCGTGCGTGCGTCAACATTTCAGACTTGCCACCTCACGAACTAAAATTGACAAAAAATGCGTTAATTATATTGTTGCGTAATTTAGACGTATCAGAAGGACTATGCAATGGTGTAAGACTCATTGTAACATGTCTGTGCAATCATATAATAAAGGCAAAAATTGTTAATGGTGAACAATCCGGAAAAGAAGTACATATACCAAGGATAACCCTTGACTCATTAAAAGGACAACTGGGATGCACCATGCAGCGTCACCAATTTCCTGTTAGATCTGCATTTGCCATGACTGTTCACAAATCCCAAGGGCAAACATTTGAATCTGTTGGGGTTGACTTAAGGTCAAGTTCGGTCTTTATGCATGGCATGTTATATGAAGCATTTTCTAGAGTTAAGGGACCAACTGCGTTAAAAGTCCATCTTCCAAATGAAAATCCTCGACATACCCGCAATATAGTATGGAAAGAAGTATTAGGTTAAGACCCGATTTCATAATCAAAACGTTGATTATACTTACGTAAACTATAAAAAAGTAAGTACGTGTTTCCAATAAAATTATAAGCTAATTGCACTCATGATTTTTTTATTTATATAACCAGTTCAATTTTTTTATTATATCGGTAAAATCGAAAAATGTGTTATTCATATTTCATCAGTATGTAACTTGTATCTAAATATTATTTCCAAAAACTAGATTTCCAAAATAAAAAATACCGAGCAAAGCTCGGTCATCCAGGTACTTAAAATAATTATGTAAGCAATGTTTTCTTATATTTACGGAACAACACATTGAGTAAAACCTATTTTACGCTATTGAAGTATAATAATACATATACAATGTTTTTTTACACATTTTTTATCGCTGACTTTTCACGCGCTTTTTAGTACCCATTATCACGTGACCAAAAAATCGGCAATTAAAAAAATTTAAATAAACGCCATAAAATCCGGTAAATTAGTTTTAGCAACAAATTGTTAAACATTTATTTTTCAAATTTCTTGCAGTTCAGATATCAAAATAAACACTACTACTGTGAGATTCTACGTAGGATAATCCCATTGCCTAGCATGTTAACGATAGAATAAGTAAATCTTTACAAAACCAAACATACAAAGTGAATGTTAAAAGGCTCTTTATGAAAATGGGTTAAAATTAATAGTTACAATGCAGGTTAGAACTTATTCCCTTTCTCTTCTAAACCAACGGCTTCCTGAGCAAAGAAAGTATAATTTGCAATAAATACTGATGTGACCAATCCAAAGCCGGGTATAGAATCCGATTGATCACCTTTGACATAGCTCTATCGGAGAGTATGGTGCAGGATTTTCTTGGTGGTAGGCCTGCACCACTTTTCTCGTTCCAATACAAGTTCGATTACAAATATATTACACGTTTTCCTCACACTATCCATTTTTTTTTTCATTAATTACAACCTACAAAAGTCTACCGCTAAGATGGGCCTGTCCTATTGATTGTAGATAGGGGAAATATTTGTCATAGTTCCCTTTAACCCTAGATCACTAACCTTATTTTACAACGCTTATTACTAACATTCGTCGTTTCAACTACGCCGTATAAAAGGGAGGCTTCTAAGGGTTTATGGAATAAAATATTTATATGTGTTTTACTTATCTATTACAATAATCATTTGTTAACATGTTTATAAGTTTTTTTATCTACTAAAATCAAATTTTAATTACTTTGACACTCTTTTAATTCGGACCTGAGTTTTTACTCATTTGAAAATTTTTGTTTTTTTTAAACGCTTAATACTTATGAACTAAAAGAAACAAAGACTTAAAAAAGTATTAAAATATTAAAATTAAGTAACAAAATCAACAAAAGAAAGAAACAGTTTAGAAGAAAAGTTTATATTAACTAATACATTTGTGAAAAATGTCAAGTTTGTGTTCGCCACACAAGGATTTGTTGCGCTTGGTGCAACAATTTTTTGTCATTCTTCGCTTTGCGGAGGGACAAATTGCACACATTTTTCTTTTTTTGGCGATAGGAAGAATAACTGCATATTCTCTTTGATCGGTCTCATGTGTAAAAGTAGAACTACTGGTTTCTGGCATATTCAAAATCGCTGTTATTGAGTCCCGCAGCCCCGTTTTAAGTGTCGGAATTCGTAATCTTTTTTGCATGTGTGGCTCGACTAATTTTTGATGCTACTCCGCCCTTATTTTGATTGTAAAACTCGACCATCGTGGGCATCTTGGTTAACTCATCAATTGTCCCTTCCTTATCACAAGTCGACAATAGGAATATTGTCTCTTGGGGCTTTGACTTGTATGTACTGTCGATGTACTTGCCTGGATGTCTTCAGTCAAAGGTGGTTGTTCTGTCACAGAAAAAATTTCTTCCTCACCATCTGTTTCATAAGCCGGATCAGCCTCAAGGTGGTCTTCTATCTCACTCGTAGAGCAGTTTTCTTCGTCACTATTATCATTTAATAACAGCTGACGAATAGTATCTAAAATAAAAATATATTCAAATAAAAATAATGTAAGTTCTTATTTCAATTTAGGCAAATTAAGTACAAAGTTTACAAAACACCAACATAATTATAACACCAAAAAACATGAAAAATAACTTTGCAAGAATAACATTAATACCAACCTTCGTCGATTCGACGACTCATGGTGGCTGGAACGGCGCACACAGGGCCTCTACACAAAAAACACACTCCTGCGCCGCGGGAGCCTTGGGTCAACTGAGATTAGCTGGAATCTGGAATGTCTAGGACGACGCACTCAAAATTTATACCACTTTTTTGAGTCCGCGTCGTCGTTTTGACGAAGGTTAGTGATGTAGGGTTAATGACAGGCAAGTTAGCAACCGCAGTTTTCGATTACTTTGTGTTGTTTCAGGTTTGGTCACACGCACGCACGCACGCGCACGTAGACGCACACGCAAGTACACACACGCATGCATGCACACACGCGCACGCTCCAAAGCATACGCATTTTTTGTACTATGTTTAAAGTCTGTATTGCGCACGGAAAATAAGATAACTAAATGGAAGGGTAAACTATCTCCTAACGTACAGGGTAACCTAGTTTGGGAGTCAGGGTATTTATGAATTGTATATTAAGGGGAAATATAACCTCAAATGGCTTAGCAAGATCCTCCGTTATGCCGAAAGTATTGCAGCATTAATTTTGAAACAAATATATGGTTCCTGCGGAGCGACAGTAACCAAGCTTACGCGCCGATAGTTTAGGTAATTTCTTTTTACAGTGAAAATAATGATATTTTAAAAAAAGTAAATAACATAAGCACTGCTTTATGGTTAGTTCAGTTAGTATGCAAAGTTTCATGATCTTATTTAAAGTATTTTATGAATAACAGCGGTTTATTGTTCAGTTTGGAGGTAAATTTGGATTTTTTTTCTATCGAGAAAATTTTACGGAATCGTGTTTTCGTCTAACATAAACCTTAACATTAATCCTCAACTTTACCATATATTTATTTCAAAATTAATGCTGCAATACTTTCGGCATAACGGAGGATCTTGCTAAGCCATTTGAGGTTATATTTCCCCTTAATTCTGTGATCAATTAAGAATTATTATTGTTATTATTATTAATTTAAGCATAAAGTTTTGGGAAACCATAGTTTTAGCGAAATTAAATTATTGTATAGGTCCAAACCTTCAAACTGCCGAGGCGTCGAGAACAGATGTCCTCTCTGACGTAAACGCAAACTCCAGCCCGAGACACAAGGGAGTGTTCCAGTTTGTACCCCGGGTAGAAGAGATACGAGACATCAGCCGGAGAGGACACCTGCGTCTCGGTCAGAAAGAGCAGAGC